ACAACATATATATATATATATATATATATATATATATATATATATGTATGAATGAAAGTACAAAAGGAACCTGAAAGCTACAACATAAAGAAATGAAACTCTACCTTGCTAGAAAGCAGTCTTGTGGTGTGTTCATGTGAAAGAAAAATTGAGAGAAGCCAGGACCTTCCTCCTGGACTTGCAGTACAACTAGATTTTCTCTGTTACACATTGAACGTGTTCTTAAGTAATTCAGGGGCTCTCAGCAAATACAAGTTACTCAAGTTCTTCACTGCAAAGAGCTATTTGTTCATTACTATTAAATAACACATACATATGTGTATAAAAGCCATAGGATCCCTGGTCTAAGCTTTAATCTTGACTCCTTGATGCTGTCTCTGTTGTTTAATCTTCCTACAGAATATTCTGCTTTCTGCTCCGAATCTCTCATACTGCTGGAGCCTCTAGCCCAGAATGACCCGTTTTGAACCACAAATACAGGCTGGGTGATGAGTGGATTGAGAGCAGCCCTGTGGAGAAGGACTTGGGGGTATCAGTGGATGGGAAACTGCCTGTGAGCCAGCAATGTGAGCTCACAGCCCAGAAAGCCACCCGTGTGCTGGGCTGCACCCAGAGCAGTGTGGGCAGCAGGGCGAGGGGGGGATTCTCCCCCTCTGCTCCCCTCTCCTGAGACCCCCCTGCAGGGCTGGGTCCAGCTCTGGGGGCACCAACAGCAGAAGGACACGGACCTGCTCGAGTGGGTCTAGAAGAGTGTTGGAGCACCCCCCTGTGAGGCTGAGAGAGTTGGGGGGTTCAGCTGGAGAAGAGAAGGCTCCAGGGAGACCTTAGAGCGGCCTCCCAGGGCTGAAAGGGGCTGCAAGAAAGGGGGGAGGGACTCTATCAGGGAGTATAGGGACAGAATGAGGAGTAATGGCTTTAAACTGAAAGTGGATAGATTTAGATTGGCTACAAGGAAGAAATTCTTCCCTGTGAGGGTGGTGAGACACTGGCACAGGTTTCCCAGAGCAGCTGTGGCTGCCCCCTCCCTGGAAGGGTTCAAGGCCAGGTTGGACGGGGCTTTGGGCAACCTGGGCTAGAGGAAGGTGTCCCTGTGTGTGGCATGGGGGTTGGAACTGGATGATGTTTAAGGTCCCTTCCAGCCCAAACGATTCTAAGATTCTATGATTTTTCCTTGCATTTCATTAAATCTGACATCTGTGCTTTCTGATACTAACGTTACAGGGTTAAAGCATCACGATTGAAACCCCACTACTTAAATGTGACTCAAATAACCATCTTATTCAGCTTTGCTGGTTTTACAACTAGAGAAGATGCTGTGTGGGAATTGCTGCCCACATATTGTGCTGCCTTTCAAGCATCCTTCAACTCCTCATTTCTCAGCAATAATGGGATTTAAATCAAGTGTCCTTTTTGATCTTATAAATGAGCCCCAGTATCTGTCCCTGTACCAAAACCGCATGGCATTTGCCTTCCAAATATCTCAGAGCAAAGTTAGGGGAGCAGAAATGTTCCTCTGTTACTCCTGGAGAAACTGAGGCACCGGGTGCTCATACAACATGCGGCAGACAGTGAAAGGTGTAAATCTGAGAATTCCTGGTTTTGTCTTGTACCGACAGTTGATGAGGCCACTGCTGCGATGTTGCTATGAAGTTTATTGCCATTTGAGATGTGCCAAATCCTGTGCTCATGTCAGAAACTGTAGGACATACGACACAGTGCAAGACCTGTGCCCTGCTGGCTGGGCAGATGGAGGATACTCCACAACACCTCAGACACGGCTACATGTCTATATTTAATAGGTTGAATCTGACCCCACTCACATTTTTAAAGCCAAGCAGCTCTGAAACACCACCATATAACTGCATATTACTCAAGTTTGAGTCCTCCTCCCCTCCAGAGGTGCATTCCCTGCCCAGAAAGGTGGGTTAAGGCAACGTCAGAGCTGATGTTCCGAGCTTGGACATGAGCCCACAGAGAGGTACATGCCTGGAGGAACTCCACAGCAAGACAACTGGAAACAAGATACACATCTTTTCTTGTAGCAGCCCCAGAGCCAACCATGCCTGCAGGGCAGGTGAGCCAGGCATGGCTAGAGCTATCGCTGCCCGACAAATTCTCCTATAGCAGCTCTAGTGAGGCCAGTGCAGAGCAAAGAGGTTATGCGGTCCCACCCTGCACTGCTCCTTCAGGCAGGGGTAGCTGTAGGCTGCGATAGTTACTATGCAGTTAAAGAAGGTGGGAACCGGTGTGCACCAAACACTAGCCCTCCTCTCAGGCCTTACAAAGTCTGAGCAGAGAAAAGGGGACCAGTGAGGGGTCAGGAAGGGAACGTACACCAAGAATATGAACAGACCTAGCATCTTTCATCACCAGAATGCTAGTCTGAGCCAGGGAAGCTGCTGCCCCATTCTCCTGGCAGATCTTACAATATAGCATGAAAAGAAAAATAGAAAGACACAACAATACTCGAAGGCCAGTATCGACTGCTGTCTTACACACAGTAACCTCTGTCCTATTTGGTCTCACAGTTCTGCAGTGTTTCACCAGGATTCAGGAGAAAAGCAGAAATTACTCCAAAGCACCCAGAGCATCCTCCTTCTGGAAGTTGGGCTGCTGGGGCCAACTGTAAGAGAGTGCAGCAAGGGTTGACTCCTGTCCAGCGGGAGCAGCTTTAAGCCAAGGCTCCAGTGTTTGACACCTGCCTGTGCCTGGCCATGGGCTCTGTCCCATCACTATGGACAGATCTGGTGACCTGGGCTCTCTGCTCACCCTGGCTGCCACCCTGGGCTTGCCCTGCTCTCCTTATTTGGGGATGGTGGGATGGGGGTTTGCTGGTGAAGACCCCTGCCCTGCTGTTTGTGTTGTCTTCCTCAGCTCCCCATCTTTAGGGAGCAGCTAGCTCTTGACATTTAGGTTTTTTCCTCCTTCCTTTCTCACCTAGCCCCAACAGAGCAGATACCATTGCAGTGCAACTTGTGGAGAAGTCTTTTCAGAAAAGAAAAATTGCAGTTACATTTTGCAGCTGAGTCTTAAAAATATCTTTGAAAGATAGGAATAGCAAAGCATACGAAATTTCCTCCTGACCCCAGAAGACGGCTGCTTTAGTAAAAGCTGGGACTTTAAGAAATAACAGCAAAAAGATTTGCTTTGCAGTCATAAAAACTGGCAATACCTCAGATAAATTTCAAAATGGCAAAAGCTTTAGATACAAGCCCTTGAACAAAGTCTATTCCTCAAAGATTTCCAAATTGTTGGGGAGCCAGTAAACTGAGGTCCACCACATCCTATGCTATTGCTATCTTTCTGACTGTTTTAGGGACCCTTGCAAATCTTAAAACACTTTTTTTTTTTTTCTCCCCTCTTTCCCAGGCCACCACAGAACCCCCCAAAAAGAAACCGGACCCTGTCACTTCAGAGACGGTGGTGATCTGGGGGCTGCGCCTCTGGCAGGTGATTGGTATCTTTGCCATCTTTGTCCTGGCAGTCAGTAAGTTGTAATTCTCTGCCTTGCACCAACCACAGCACCACCTCAAGTGAGACTTGTTCCTGGAGGACTACAGACCAGATGGCCATGGAGGTCACAGGCTGAGGGTCTTTGGTCTTTGGCATCACAGGGCTGCACACTGAGGGGGGTTTGCAGCAGGGAGAGGCAGGTGGGATCTTTGAAGGAACCACAGATGGGCCACCATGGCTTCATCTTGTCACATACTGATGAACAGGCCCTAACTGGTGACATCCCAGAGAACAGCAGCTACCATAGGGCTGTGCCATAGCTGAGACTGTGTTCAGCTACAGTACCACATTCAAGCCCAAATACATGTAATAGCCACGGTCCTTCCCTGTCGCACAAACATACAAATATATGTGAGCTCTTGTTGCACCGTCCCACATGCTGCAATAAGAAGCCTCAGGAGGTTTGCAGTCACAGACAGATCTGGTGTGAAGATCCCCAGCTCCTGTTCTGGGTGCCAAGACTTTCAACTTGATTTTAGCAGGGCTTTTAGGGCTTAAACCCTTCATTTTTTAGGACCCAGGCACTAGGACGTCACTGGCTCAGACCTGGTGACTGCATGGGATGGGATCACACACTCTCCCAGCACACTTTGGGGATCTGTCTGGGTATGGCTGATTCCCCACCCGAGTGTTTTCATCCAGCGTCATCCTCTTGCAGCTCACTCCCTGGGAAGAGTGTAAGCCAGCTTCAGTGTGCATTGCAAACTGCTATCATGGGCTTCCTTATGAGAATATCACTCAGGACACTGTCGTAACTCCATCAAAATTCAAAGGAAGGATCTTTTGCTCTCTCCTTGAGCCAACTATAACTTCATACCAAAACCTAATAGATAGGTTTTGATGTGAGTCAAATGTGATAAATCTATTTCTTTCCCATCTTCTTGTTACTCTCTAGATTTTTGCAAAGTGTATAACTAATTCACTTCTTCCAGTAAACAAAGTTATACTGACTCACCTAAAATTCCTCTGAACTTCCTCTTTTTCCTGTTAGGGACAGGTGAGCAGAGGGGACAGAGCTTGTCTTCAGTCTCTCAAGGTAAATCCTACCAACTTAGATATCACCTTAAATCCTTACCCACACTAGGAAGGACATCATCCAGCCACATGGACTTAGATACACCTAAATCTTCTAGTCATCTTTTACAATTCTCTTCTTTTTCTGGCTTGTGGCCCTAATTGCTTGCTGAAATCAATTTCCCAAGTGGAGTAATGAAGCATTTTAAAACAACTGAAGGGAAGTCTTGAGCACCTTAGATTTCTGCATCACTTCTGCTTAGTCCTCATAAGTGAGGAGTCCTGTCCAAACAGTGGCCACACACAAGCCTCCGGGTGGGGAGCAGCCACAGACAACACCAACCCTAACCTACAAGCATTCCTTGTCTAGAACACAGGTTTGCTGGGACAGCTCTAAAAACATAGGACTGATTTCTAGCGTTCCCTGTTATTTTTTAACTTACTACTTAAACCCTGTCTAGATGTAGCCCTAATCTAATCAAAGAACACAGCAGTCTGTGTGTTGCTGTCTCTGCTGGTATTGGGGGAATCAAGTTGCTTCATGTTGCCACCACAACCTCTTTGGCTGCTGTAGGTATCAGTCCACCCCTGATAGCCTTCCCGTTCTGCTCCCATGCTCAGTTTAAACCAGACATTCACATTTTCAAAGCAAGTACAAGGATTTTCTTCTGTTTTCTTTTCCCCTCATTGCCCTTTCTGGGCAAACACCACACCTTACACCCAAAGTCTGGGGGATAACTATTCCTACAACTTACCCACTCTACATCAATGAAGCTTATGTTAATTCATCACATGCTACAACACCCTTTGCAAACAATCACAAGAAACTCCACAGAGCAAAGTGAATGTGGCCAAGTATTTAACCTTAGTGACTCCATACACCATGTGAAACAGGCATCAAAATCAACAGCACGAGCTTTAGAATGCGAGTAGACTGGTGAAGGGCTTTACTTAGCTGTTTATTCTTGGTTCGGTGGGCACAAAATTGTAAAGAAATTTTTGCCCAGTAGAGCTGAGTGTTTTGTTGTTCATTAGAAATTGTCTCCGGCATAACCAGTTTATTTAGGGTTAGAAGCATGGAAAGTCTGCCATGCTGGCAAACCAATGCATCAGACGGCAGACTGCTTGCAGAAAAGAAAATAGTTACTTAAAAATATTAATAGCAAGCAAACACCCATGAAAATTTACTCAACCAGTGACAGCCCAGAAAAGAAATGTATTATAGAAAACAGCATAAAAGAAAGTTACTTGAAGTGCCAAAAGCAGTGAATTGTGAGAAACTAAAATACTTTGTGAAGGAACCATGTTTAGACGAGCAGACAAATAGGTTATGTGCAGTTCAATAAAGTAACGTCTGTTTTAAGGTTTTGAGTTCCTACTAACACACACAGGTAGCTCAACAAAATCAGACCGTTATGCCAGCCTGCCAGAAGTACGTACTACTGGAAGAGTAGGAAAGTATTTGCTAGGAGACCACAGGGTTTTGACTTGCTGAGTCTCAGAGTGATAGATAGATCCCATGCATCACAACATGTAACAGAGTCAGTTTATAGCTCTACTGCTCTGTTACAGCCTTTCTGTTTGCAGCAGCTTTCTTTCAATGATTAGAAGGACTTGAAAGCAACTGTACCAGTCAGCTTCATGAAAACAGTAAACCTTTGGTGAAGACAGCAACTATTTAACAAAGTCTGTGACCCAAGTCAAAACAAGGCAGGTTCAGACTTACTGACATTCAAATAACTGAATCATACAATCAACTCTCACCAGTTTTCTTGCTCCAGCAACATCGTCCTCCTCCTTTGCTTTGTGATCCCCAAAGCATCGATGGTTCCCCAGCTTTACCAGCAAACCTTTAACTCTTAGGAGCAGACACAGGTTTTTGTGAGTGGGGTCTTGGAAGCTGCCCTGGTATCAGTCCAGAAAACCAGGGAACATTCTACTTTTTTTATGGGGCAAGAGCAGAGAAGAGTTTTAGTATGCCTTCCTTTTCCCGGTTCTAGGAGCACCTTCCCAGCAAGAGTAACACAGTCCTCTAACAGCACTAACCCTCTGAACGAGGAGACAGAAGAACATCCTTTCTAGGGCTTCTTGGGGCCTGCACATGATCCCATTGGCTTACCACCTCACCTTGTTATCAAGGGTGTGTCTACTTTGTCATGTGAAAAATCAGGTGAGGAGTAAATGAGGATTGAGATGGCTTTAAAGTAAATGCCCCTAGGTACTTAGCTGTGGGTGATTGTGGAGTACTTGAACTGGATTCCTTTCAGTTGAAATGGAAATAGAATATAGCTGCTCCAAAAAGGTCGCAAGAGATGTATGATAGTTGCTAAGGGCAGCCACAGGACCAAACTGGAGTGCTCCACCTAAAATACACGGAGTGTGGATGGCAGATCCTCTGTGCTCTTCCACCACACAAACCTGCTCCTACTGAGTGACAGGACTTCCAAATTATGGATATGATCTAGGTGTAGTTTCCAACTCTTGCTCTTAGCAACTTCCACAAGATGGCATCATCGCATAAGAAAAGGTAGAAAAAAATGGTCAAAGCCAAACCTTCATTTCCTTATTAAAAACAAAACAAAAACCTACATAAAGACATCTTGTTTGTCAACACACACCGATTATATGTGTAAAAAGACTCTGGGGAAGATCTTCTAACTCATAGAGACCTTTTTGGTCAGGTTACAAACCAAAGGGGGCAACTCCTAGCTTTACCCAGCAGAGACCAGGAGATGAAAGGTTTGCACACCAGTTAGCAGAAAGCTTTTCTGTCTCCCCTGCGGCAAATAGACAACTTTCTCAGATGCCACATGAAAGCATCTCTCTGTCAGATACATCCACCTCTATCTTTTTCCTTTGTTTGTGCTCTGTGATAGGATTTGCCACAAGAGAAAAAAAAAATTTGGGAGTAAACCAACCTACAGTAGAAAATAAAACTTAGTAGCACATGCAGAGCATCATGCAGGTGATGCTGGAGTCATAATGCTCATGGATATGTGTATCATTACACAATTCTTATCTACTAAAATATCAGATATGTCAAATCTTTTTTACTACAACTGGAGAAGTCACGAGAGCTCATTTTTAAAGTGAACACAACCTCTACAGGGAAAAAAATCTGCAAAGAAAGGGAGGACAAGGAAAGTTTCTCAGGTACCAACTCACTGCTGTTTCTCTTGTAAGCCCCAAGATTTTAACTTAGTCATTTTGTCCTTGGTTAAAGGGAACCTTCCCTTTTGAATATTTGAATCAGTGTACCTTGAGGTCCTTATAAGGGCTGCCTCTCAGCACCTGGCATAATTCAGCTGCTCTGGATTGCTGGTTGATAAGAGACCCCTTGCAGGCAGGAGCAGAGATAAGCATTACATGGGTTTTTCTCTTTCTTAGAGATGCTTTGATGAGACAACAGACTGCTAAAATGAGATTAGCTGTCGTGAGGATTTGATTCACTCAGGAGCACTGCTATGTGGTATCTTGGTCTTGCTTGTTTTGGTTTGGTTTTTTTTTGTTTGTTTGTTTGGGGTTTTTTTTGTCCTGTGAAAGCTGTAAGAAGGGAACTAAGGCCCAACACTACTGCTCTGATAGGATGGGAATGAGTCATGACCTTGGAATCTTGCACAGCCTGTTTCACCTACAAAGACTGAGGACTTTGCCCCAAAAGTGTTACCCTTTGCAAACTGCAGTGCTGTGCTGGAGGAGAGGGTGGTCCTGACCCATCCTTGGGAAAGCCAGCAGCTGGCCCAAGGTTTGCCCCATGTGCTCTCCATTGACTCTCCCTTTTCTTTGGCATCACAACCACCATCGATGTTTTAAAGTAGCCCTGGGGGCTGTTTATTTTCCTCTCTGGATGTTACTTTGTTTTCAAGGTCTGCTAGCTTCCTTGTTTATGTACACCCCGAGGGCTGTTGACAGCAGCCCACCCTGGAGGGTGCAGGCAGTACCTCTTTGAGTAAGGATCCA